ACCACATCAGTGTTTCTGCAGTGCTGAGAATGATCCACCACCCAAATAGTACCTGCTCTGTGAGGGTCCATGGGGGTCCTGACCACTGAAGAACAGGGTAAAAGGGGGCTAACAAAGTATGCAGAGAAACAGATGGACTACAGTCTGTAACTGTAGAACTACAAAGTGCACCTATATAGTAAGTGGAGCTGATTAAATGGACAACGAGCATAGAAACAAGGTCATAATGTTATGCCTGAAGTATGTACTGCTATATATAAATGTAACGTGGATGTACAGAAGTACTATCGCAGTCTGCTATACGTTCTTCTGCCTTTTCTGTGATCCTGCAGTGGGACTTAACACAAACCCCCACAGCGCGTCTGCCTCACACTCACTGACGTCAGGCTACCTGATCACACGCTTCACTGATCTGATATCTCTGCCTAACCCTGCTTCCTGAGGCACTGTGGCAGGAGGGAGGAAGTGTTGAAAGTTCCTCTGAGCTCACCGCTACAAAGATCCATGTTTTGGAATCTAAGAAGGACTTCCTTCATTCGGCCTGTCAGTTAGAGCTTTTTTCACACAAGCAGGAGAACAGAAGGTTCTCATTCACCAGAACTGCTCCAATAAGCATAAATCATAATACAGTCAGTTCTACATAGTACAAAGGACAGCATGCTATAAAAGAAGACAGTAAGGCTGAAAGAGACTGAGGCTTTCATAATACACTTATTTACATGTTCATTTAAAGTATTTATCAAGTGTTTTGATCCACAGTGACTTAGGAAAGTGCTTTGTTGTCCACTCAGAGACTGAATCCTTACCTTAGCACAAATAAGTTAGAGTCTAAAAAACCTGTGAGTTAAGATGCTGCCAGACTTCCTTACATCTTAAAGGTTAGTTGGTTGAAACTCAGTTGCACTTGAAGCTCGAAAGGAACAGAAGTGGTAACAAGTCACTAAGTTGCAAGTAACAAGTTAGTCTCAAGTCTTCACACTCAAGTCCCGAGTCAAGATAGTCGAGTCTCGATTCAAGTCCCAAATCAACAGTCCTAATCTTTGAGAGTCCTGAACAAGTCAGTCTGCATTCTTCAGCTAATTTAAGGCCATAATGGCTGTATATTAATATATATATCTTTACCTTTCCAACTAAAATATCCAAAATCCAGTATTGCATTACATATAAAAAATTTTTAAAAGTACAACTAAACTTAATTTAAAAACTAGTTTAGCACAAAAACTTGGTCATCCGCTAATTTTAATTCAATTTAGATGATTTTAGATGATTTTAGCTCAATTTGACTGAACAGTTTACAGAAAAGACAGCAAAATGCTGGTGAATGTACGAAGCTGAAGTTGATGCCAGCAGCTTCTTGTTTGAATTTTCCCGTTCCGTCTTAAATGGTGCAGCAATTACATTCCGGCACCTCATTGCTGCACCATTTAAGATGGAATGGAAAATTCCAATATGACACTGGCGAATATACAGTCAACTTCAGCCTCATGGTGAAGGTTGTTTTACCTGCAGAAGCTGTTAAAATCGGTCAAATAGAAAGAAATATGTTTCTTTTGTTTTGCTATCATAAGGAAAATGGTCAGTTCACCTGGTGAGTTTCTCCAGTAAGGCTGAGTGAGGGCGCATTGATGCTGTTGATGCTTCGTTTGTTTCCAGCTTATGGAGGTGAACTCGAGCTCTAACTCTTCGCCTGTCTTCTGAAATAAAATAATCTGAGCATAAACACAGTGACGGACATCGGACGATGCTGCTGTTTATTCAATTTACGGCAGGAAACGAATCCATTCACATGAAAAATAATTGGCTGGGTAGATCCCGTCTGCAGTCAGACTCTCTCCACGTTTCTTCCACTTTGAGTCTCGAGTCTTTCTGAGACATGACGTTTAAGTCAAAGTCGAGTCCCAAGTCTTTCTTGATTTTCTCGAGTTGAGTCTAAAGTCACAAAATTCATGATTCGAGTCAGACTCGAGTCCAAGTCATATGACTTGAGTCCACACCTCTGGAAAGGAATAAACCACGTTTTGACCGTTGCCCATAGGTAGGGAGGCGGTCCATTTGTGGCTTTGTAGGCAAACACCAGGGCTTTACATCTTATAAAGGCAGCTCAGTTGAACTTGATTAACCGTTAATTGAAACATATACATTTGATGAGTCTGCAATGATTGGGTGGCAGTTTGCACTATGATAATGCAAACATCTGAGAGGCTTATTATTCAGCAACTACATGGGCTATAATGCAAACTGGCTGATGTATAGAGTAATAGGTCCTGGCCAATTATGGGGTCAAATTATCCTCATGGTCTCTCTTAAGAAACAGAGCCTGATGAATGTACTCAATTGTATCAGACATAGCATTTTTATGTTCTTATGAGGTTTTCCCAGTTTATCTTGTTCCAGTGAAGCATTTCGGAAAATTTGATAGGCTTTGCAGGGCTTTTAATTTCGATTATGTCATTTTAATCATGTCCATTTTATCATGTGGTCTTTTGTATAAACTCTGATTGCTCATTTAATCGTCAAAATAATTAATAGATTGCTTAATTGCTAATATAATCGATAGTGACAGCCCCAATTTAGGTCACTGTAAACGTACACTGTTGTGCCGTAGTTGCTTGTAGGTGAATTACACATTTTGAAGTGAATTCCTGTTGAAAAGTCTACTGTCAGTAGTGTCAGCCTCACTGTGTGAAGACAGAATCATGTGTGTTCGGTAATGACATGCTCAGCCTCGGCGCCTGCTGTGGGACATGACAAGGCGCTGATAGGCAGAGGAGGTGAAGAGTAGGAGAGGTGTGTGTGCATGTAATTCACAGATATGAGAATGTTAGTGGTCATCTGTTGGTGAATTTTTAGTGTGCTGGTTTATTTTTTAAGTGTTTTTCACCCTCTGAATGGACTCCTAATTAGGTGGTAATCTTACTTGGGTGGTAACGAGGCAGGGATTTACACACATTTAGCCGCTGGCAGTGTTTATGCACTAGCAGTTCCGCTGTTGTAACGCTGTAGTGAAGGCTGAGTCTCACTGGCCCACACAAACACGTATACACAGATGAGCAGATATGATTGACTGTCGTCTCCTTTACAGAGAGGTCCAATGCTGGGATGTAGGTGTTGTACAATAGCTGTCATTACAAAGGGAAGCAGAGTCTAATCACCTGACTTACTGTTTACTCATTCAGTAGTGTTTTACAGGCCTGCAGACCGATCATGTGATTATGCAACGACTTGAATAAAAGCATTAAGGTCAGGCCTGGCGCCAGAACAAACTCATGAGTGGGGCATCTGAATACCACAGAGGGTATTTATGGTAGATCTGTCCAAAGAAGCCACACATACATGAGGGAATAAAGAAGAGCACCATATTTACAGCCCATCAGCAAAGGTCTTCCCATTTAGGAAATCTGTCTGCTGATTATCTTCCCACATGTCCATAAAATGAAGTCAATACAAAGTGCTGCATGCACACCCTCTCATGTTAATTGATGTAGGTTTCGATATCTGGTGTGCATGGAGTTTAGTTTCACGTCAAATCTTTTGTTGTCTTTATAGAAGCATGTATGTATGTTAAGTGGGGTGTGATGATTGGTTGTTGGGGCTTTGCTCCACTAAATGACCCCCTGTCACTGGACCTGGTTATGGTTAAGTTTAGGACTTAGGTTTAGCTTTATGTTAGCTAGTGTAAATGTCTTCAAAATAAAAAGGTTAAGGTTAAGGTTATGGTTTTGGCTAGGGTTGGCTACTTTCACAATAATGTAAGCTAGCATGAATAGCTAAAAGGGGTTAAGACTGGGGTTAGCTAAACCTCCAACCATGTTCGATGGTTAGGTAGCAAACACACTAAAGCCCATGTGTCAAACACAAGGTCCATGGGTCAGATCAGGCCCACAACACAATCCTATCCGGCCTGCAAAAATATTTTAATTTTCTATTTATATTAGCTTGTTTCACAATGCACTGCACTACAGTCCCCAGCATGCACTGCAACATTATGTGCACTCTGACTCTCCTACCCCAACAACAATCTATGGGACAGCGGTTATACCTCAGTTCTACACAATTCTACACCAGTCGAATCACCAAACACACTAGTAGCAGTTCAGCCAATATAAACACTTAACGTCAGCTCAGCAGCTCAGAAACTGAGCCCAAGTCTTAATGAACCTGCAGCAAAGAAAGGATGCCAGGTGTTTAGATAAAGCAAATAGGTAGCTTTAAAAGACTGAGCTACTGGGGACATATACATTTTGAATATTTCAAGTATCCATGTCATATTTCAAGGTCTACTGCAAGTGCCTGTATTTTACTGCTGAAGTTTTTATGTATTTTAAATAAACAATGGTCAGTTCAGTTTATAGCAAACTGTTAATTAAAAATGAAATAAAACATAGTCGTTCTCTGGCCCACGGATTGGTTGAGATTTTTTAATATGGCCCTTTTAGCAGTTAAGTCTGACACCCCTGCAGTAAAGGGTCATTTTTAGTTTTATGTAACAACAGACTTTCTCCAAAGCATTTCTTTTTGTTACCCTCACCTCACTAACACTTGAGCTAGTAGCTAACTGGCCAACAGTTCAGTAGCTAACTGGCCAACGTCCACTCAAGCTGGGGCTTTTCCCGCCTAACCCGGGCCTTTTTTTCCACCTAAGACGCAACTTTGCCCAGCTCAAGGTTTGGTCTGCAGTATCGCTGCTAGTTATTACTCCACATTTGTACTGGAAAGACTTAATGATGTATTTATTTCTTAGCTTTAATTGTTGAATCTTCTGTGTTCACTGTGAATGTAGGTTTGGTGTTTAGGGCTCTTTTCTAGCTATAAGTGGTAAAAAGTGGTGTAAGTGGTACCACTATAAGTGGTAAAAAGCAGTTGCTTAGGGCCACCAAGACACCAGAGGCTTGTGTATGTACTGTTTAAAATGCATTTAGCATCATTTATCAAAAACATGCAGTGACTCCAGAGGTAATTAATCAACCTTTCATTTCTTTTTCTGTTCATGTGCACAAAAGTATACAATTGGAGGAAGACTGGAGACGATTGGGAAGGACCACCTGTGTAGGATGTCGCTTAGGGTCCCCAGATGTTCAGAAACAGCCCTGTAGGTGTTGCCTGCAAAGATCGCTTGACGCCTTCTGTATGAGCATTTGAGGTATGTGTATGTGTGTGTGTGTGTGTGTGTGTGTGTGTGTGTGTATATCTGTGTGTGTGTTTGTGTGTCACTTCACTGTTTGTGTGCGACATTTTTAGTCCTCTCCAGGGTCAAAACAAGCTTCAGTCTTTCACCTCCCCGCCTGTCTTTTGTTCTCCTCCAGCAGCTCTTTGTTCGCAGACCCTGCATGTTGACCCAGCTGCAGAAGGATGAGATAACCCCCATGCAGCCGTTTCTTTCCTTCACTTTACTTCCTCTTCTCTCTCTCTGTCTCTCAATCTATCTCTCTGTATGTCTCGCCCGGTCTTGTTGAGGCTTGTATGGGCTGCGGGACTTCCTGAGAGTTCGCCTCAGGTGTGTTTATCCATAGGAGAGGAACTGCTGCCCCCCACAACACCCCCCACTTTTCTCTCCCTCTCTTTCTCTCTCTCTTTCTCTTTCTCTCTCCTGCCAGTTGCATGAGGGTCTTCTGGCCGAGAGCCAGAGCCTGATTCTGCCACTCACTCACTGTCACAAGCAGGAGAGTGTGTGTGTGTATGTGTGTGTGTGTGTGTGTGTGAATGAACGTCCATGCTGTTTGTTTTTAAGTGCCACAGTTTCCCGGCATTCCTGCACACAAAGCTCAGCCTGAGTGTCCTGTGTATTTAATGTTCCGCTGCGTCGGCCTGCATGAGGTCTTAACTGAGAGAGTGAGAAGAAGATATGATGCGATTGGAAATACGCTGTATAAGAAAATTTGTAGCACCTCGAGTTTCAGGATTATGCTGACAGTGTTGTGTGTTTTAAGGAGTGAAGTGGTTCTGCCAGATCATCAGCCTGATTTGTGTCCTAAAGAATGGCCGGTAGGCAAGGCGTCAAAATTTTGCGTACTTTCTTTCCTTTTTTTCTCTTTCTGTTTATTATGAGTAACTCCTCAATTTGCACTGAAGTCATTTGCTTTGATGCCAGTAAAGCAGTGCTGAACTGCAGTGAGAAAGAGAAAGCATGCAAAGCAGAGGCCGTAAGGTTAACATCAGAAAGAGGGGTGTAGTCTTTACACAGAGAGCAACGAGAGAGAGAGAGAGAGAGAGAGAGAGAGAGTCCTTGATCATTTCAAACCAAATCTTATTTGCAGTCAAACCTTAGACTTATTCAATTTCTTAACAGTTGTTGTTATATCAGTGATGCTTTAGAAATACCGTAACTAAATATATTCATGGCAAGAGCTTTTAATCAATTTACAGAATACTTCTATTTGATTGAATAGAATTTATAGAATTGAATTGCTGAGTTGAGTTGAGTTGTGTTGAAGTGAATTAAAAACAGAGAGAATTGATTTAAATTGAGCTGAGCTTATTACAAAGAATAGAGTTATTGAATAAAAGTTTATTGAATTGAATTTAGAGAATTTAATTACTGAATGAGTTGAATTATGTTGAACTGAATCGAATATAGAGACTTAAGTTAAATAAAAAAGCTCATTGAATTCAGTTGAATCGAGTTGAGCTTATTATAGAGAATAGTCTTAATGAATAAGTTTGTTGAACTGAATTTAGAGAATTGAATTACTGAATAAAAGGTGATTGAAATCAGTTGATTTGAGATGAGCTTAATATAGAAAATAGAGTTAATGAATAAAAGTGTATTGAATTGAATTTAGAGAACTGAATTACTGAATGAGTTGGATTATGTTGAATTGAACCACATATAGAAACTGAAGTTAGTAAATAAAAGTGTATTGAATTGAATTTAGAGAATCGAATTGCTGAATAAAATCTAATTGAATTCAGTTGAACTGAGTTGAGCTTAATATAGAAAATAGAGTTAATCAGTAAAAGTTAACTGAATTTAGAGAAGAGCTATTTGAATTGAGTTGAGCTGAATTGAACATAGAGAATTGACTTAATGTATAGCATCTTATTGAATTTAGAGAATTTAAATGTTGAATGAAAGCTTATTACTTATGGAATATAGAGAACGAAGTTATTGAGTAAAAGCTTATTGAGCTTAGAGAAGTGAGTTCTTGATAAACAGCTTGTTGAATGTATTACGTATAGAGAACTGAATTACTGATTAAAAGCTATAGGATTGAGTTGAGTTGAACTGAGTTCATCTGAACTGAACTGACCTGAGCTGTACTGAACTGAGTGAGAGATCCTGGTTCGCTGTTTTGGAGTGACGCTGTTGTCTCTGTTGTATTTTTGACACTGAAGACAAACAGAGGGGATGTGCAGATGCTTTCAAAGCGTTTCATCACTCTTCTCATGATCAGCGGGGGGCCCTGCGTCACCCCCGTCTGAATACGGAGACATTGCCACAGCTTTACAGAGAGAGAGCACGTACGTCCGCTAAAGAGAGGAGTGTGTGACAGCAGGTGTGCTGGAGACGAGCCTCAGGCTTCATTCTGATTCAGAAGAGACGCTTCATATGAATCTCATTAATGAAGATTGGAGCAAAATTGGACAAAAAAAGTCATTTAAGATGGGAGAAGACGTTATGCATTCACAACCATCTCCCTCTATTTATCCCTCACTGTCATAAATACAAAACACACGTATTACTTTCAAATCATTTACACGAGCTGATTAATACATCTTGAGATTAAAGAGTTATTATTAGGCTAATCTCTATTTCTTGCATGTGTCAATCAGTTTCTATTGCAAATGTGTTTTGTGTCAACAGGTTTTCTGTCGTGTGCACATTAAAGGGCCCATATCGTGAAAAAAAAATTCCCCAGCGGTTGTTGTTTTTTTAAGACTAAAGTCTTTTAAGACTAAAGGTTTGAAATGTACCATTCACTTTTGACTTTGTATGGTTCATACAAGCAAACCGAGCTGCCTAAACAGCCGTTTTAAATTCCTGTTTTTGTGATGTCACAAAAACCAACATAAACAACCAGAAATCCACCTATTCTGCAGGCAATAGTAGTAGTCATAAGGAGTGTTTCAGCCTGGACTGCTTTCTGAATGAGACACAGTGTAGAGAAACCAATCAGAACAGAGGTCATTTACATATATCAGTCTTGTTTTTGTGATGTCACAAAAACCAACATAAACAACCATAAATCCACCTATTCTGCGGGCATGCCCTTTCAATAGTAGTAGTCATAAGGAGTGTTTCAGCCTGGACTGCTTTCTGAATGATGCACAATATAGAGAAACCAATCAAAACAGAGATCATTTACATATGGGGCAGTCGTGGGCTGGAGGTTAGGGAACCAGCCTTGTGACCGGAAGGTTGCTGGTTCAATCCCCTCAGCTGACAGTATGTGACTGAAGTGCCCTTGAGCAAGGCATCTAACCCCAGTTGCTCCCCGGGTGCCGTGGATAGGGCTGCCCACCGCCCCGGGCTGCGCTCACTGCCCCCTAGTGTGTGTGTTCACTAGTGTGCATGTATGTGGGTGTTTCACTGCACGGATGGGTTGAATGCGGAGGTCTAATTCTGTGTGCAAACACAGTGGGCTAATGGTTCTGAATTCTGAATATCAGTCTTGTTTCCGTAAACCCACCTATTCTGCGGGCATGCCCTTTCAATAGTAGTCGTCATAAGGAGTGTTTCAGCCTGGACTGCTTTCTGAAGGAGGCACAATATAGAGAAACCAATCAGAACAGAGATCATTTACATATATCAGTGTTAAAGGCACAGTAACAATAAAAAAACTTTTAATAGAAGAAAACAAGGTTGGAAAATGGTCCTGCTGTAATGAATTATGACTGTTTTTGCTACAGAAACCACCACAAATATTGCAAGTGGACCTCAGGGGGTGAAAAAAGATACAAAAAAAAATCAAAGATATGGGCCCTTTAATAATATGCAGTTCTACGCAGCTCTATTGCTCTACTAAGCTACACTACTGCCAAAGCAGTGAGCGCTGCGGTGTGATATAAAACAAGAAAAAAACAGAACAAAACAAAAAACAAGTAAAAATAGAAACAATCTCTCCCTCTTTTCTCCCTCTGATTGCACTGTTGATGCAGGCTGCCGCAGTTTGCTGAGTAAACAGTCGTAATGGCAGATGATTGCACTGCTGTGTCTGCATCTTCTCCTCTCGCTGTGTTTCTTTCTCTACCTGCTCCGTCTCTCCTCATCCGTCTCCTGCAGCAGCTCTTTGCGCTGTTGGTTTGAGATTGAGATGTTGTGGCAGCGGCGTGTCAGACTCGTCAGATTTTCCAAAAACATGAAAAAACACGCATCAAAATAACGACAAAAGTGCTGAGGTGCTTCTCCTGAATCTATTAAACCAGTTAGACCACTTCTTACTAACACTTACGCTGCGTGTGTGTGTATGTATGTATGTGTGTGTGTGTGTGTGTGTGTGTGGTAATGATAAGTTTCCGCAGCCAAACTCCTCTTCTGTCTGAACAGACAAAGCCCATCTGTGCCCCCCTTCTCCTCCCACATCCCTCTATCCCTCCATCCTTCCATCCTCCCCATCCACTCTCCAAAAACAGAGCAGAGAAATTAGCCCCCGTTCTCCTGTCATTTTCCCCTCACTTCACTGTCCGTAACCAGGTAACCGCTGTCCAATCTGGAGCAGATAGAGTACCTGTGTGTGTGTACGTGTGCATGTGTGTAATTTTGTATGGAGTTAATTATGCCACACGTTTCCATTCAATTTCCACTCACCGAGGTGGATGCAAAAGTTTGGGCACCCCTGTTCCAAACATTCATTTAAAAACACAATATGGCATTTTATGCACATTTTTGTGCTAAATAAATAATTACATACCATAACCTCTGCACAGGCCACATTTTATGTTTACATTTTTTCAATATGTTAACCCTTGTGTGGTGTTCAGGTCTGTGGGACCCATTTTCAATGTTTACCAAAAGAAAAAATGATTTATTATTATTTCAACCCCAGATTTCTTGTCTTTTGCTCATTTTCTGTGAAGAACATATAAAATAACCCATTTTCAGTGTCTTCACTCTGTTCGCCCCCCACACATTTATATTACACATGTGGTGTTGGGCTGAACCCACGGGGAGTAAAAGTGTGGAGGAGCTGTGTCCTTCACTCT